GCCCGGCCGTGTGGGGCGTGGTCCCGGTGAAGGGGCGGGGCCCGGCCTGTGTGGGACGTGGTCCCGGTGAAGGGGCGGGGCTCAGTGTGGCTGACTCCCCTCCCCCTGTCGTTCTTCCCGGAGCGGCCTGTAGGATGGCGATGGCCGGGGCCCGGGTTCGGGTTCGGGTTCGGGTTCGGGTTGGAGTGTCTGCTCTCTGCCTTCCGTCGCTACTGAGGAATGCCAGGCCCCTCCAGCCGAGTCCCTGGCCTGGGCTGACGGCCGTCAGGGCCCTGAGCGGCTCGGCCGAGAGGACGATGCTGGATCGGATCATCCGAGTGGATCACGCCGGGGAGTACGGGGCTAACCGCATCTATGCCGGACAGATGGCCGTGCTGGGCCGCAGCCCCGTGGGGCCTATCATTCAGGTATTTACCACAAGAGTGTTCCCAAACCAGAGAGAAATGCTGCAGGTTCCTGACGGACTGGGACTGACAATGACCTGTGTTAGCAGCTTAATGTTTACACATTATTCAGTCAGCAATCTCCCTCTAAATTTCACAGGCTTTAGGAATTCACTTGGAGCAAACCAGATCTTTTTTAAACTGAATTACTGCATCTGAAAGTGCTTTACAAAAGAACTTTCAAAAGTCTGTCCTTGTATGATCTTTGAGGTGGAAGGCTCCAAGGCCCTATTCTCTCCCAGAGGTCAATGAAGCAGCCAATACCGTACATTTACACCTCCCCACAGGTTGGACCAGAAGGAGAGGAACACTCATCACTTTGTAATATGGAACCGAAAACTCTGGGTGCCATAGAAACTACACGCAGCCCTAGGATTATGGTGGTGAAATTTTGCTGTAACAGCCACATGCTTTTATTTGTACAAATTAGGAGCAGAAGTAAGACATTCAGCCCCTCAAGGTCGCTGCACTAGCCCTGGATTACCTTTGAATCACTTTCCTAACAAGAATCTAACTTCTTCCACCTTAAAAATATACAATGACTCTATCTTCTGAAGCAGAAATTTCCAAAGTTGCACAACTTCTCTCTCTGTCCTAAAAGGGTGACCCCTAATTCGAAACAGCACTCCCTGCTTCTGCACTGTCCCACAAGATGAAACATCATTTCCTCACCCACTTTGTCAAGACCTTTCAGAGTCTTATACACTTTGATTGAATTCCCCTCAGGCTTCTAAACTCCAGTGAAAATAACTCCAGCCTGCCCATTCTTTCCACATAAAAAAATCTGCTCATTCCTGCTATCAATCTAATAAAGCTTCAATAAACCCTCTCCAAAACATTTACATACTTCCTTAGATACGGAGACCAAAACTGCACACGGTATTTGAAATATGGTCTCACCAATGTCCTGTATAACTGAAGCATTAACATCTTTAATTTTACATCTATTTCCTGTTGAGATAAATTTCAATATCCAATTAATTTTCCTGATTAAATGCTGTAATTGCAAATTAATCTTCTCTGATTCATGCACTTGAAGACCTATATCCCTCTTCTACTCAGAATTCTGCAGTTGTTTCCCATTAATATCACACTGTGCTTTTTTATTCTTCCTGCCGAAGTAAAACAACTTTCTGCTAGATTTTTGCCCTCACTCAACTTGTTTACGTCAGCCTGCATCCTTGTTATATCATCTTCATAATATTCTTTCCGACCTGTCTTTGTCATCTGCAATTTTAGCCAATCCCCTAGTTTAAGTAATTGACATAAATTGTAAAAGAAAACTGAGGTCCCAGCACAGACCCTTGCGGGATTGCATGTGCTGCCGATCTGAAAAAAAAAGCATTTATGCATCCTGTTTGTTTTCTGCCAGCCGACCAATTTTCTATCCATACCAATATGTTACCTCCTATACCATGAGTTCCTCCTTTGTGCAAAATCTTTTATATAGAATGTTATCAAATGCCCTCTAGAAAATCAAGTATGAAAGATCAGTAGGACTCCCCTTGGCCATGGAACATGTTACTACTTCAGAGAATTCCAATAAAACTATTCTGATTTTTCCTGATTACATTGAATTTTTCCAGTTGCCCAGTTTTAACATCCTAAATGATCGATTCTAATAGCTTCCTCTTTACAGATGTCAAATTAACTGGCCTACTTTTTTCTGTTTTCTACCTCCCTTCTCGAATAGAAAGGTTATATTTTCACTTTCCCGTCCAGTTGAAGCTACCTCATTGGTCATCTGTTTTAATAAACTATGACGAAGTATTATATTGATTATGACTAGTTTTGTCACTAAATTAAAGATGGATTTCTCATTGATTTCTACAATAACAGAAAATCTTAATATTTCTGTGAAAGCAAAAGTTGAAATGTGAAGAAAAAAATGTTCATTTAAAATACGGACTAGGGACTTGTTCATAAAACCACAAGATATAGGAGCAGAATTAGGCCATTCAGCCCATCAAGTCTGCTCCACCATTCGATCATGGCTGATATGCTTCTCAAGCTCATTCTCCTGTCTTCTCCCCATAATCCCTGATCCCTTTATTAACCAATAAATATCCTAAAGGACAGGAGATTAATGTGCTCGATAATTGATATCAATGGTGCAGTAAATTAACTGAAATTAATATTCATGTTTCAGCAAATGTGGGATCAAGAAAAGGAACATCTGGAGAAATTTAATGAATTGATAGTTGATCACAGAGTTCGGCCGACGCTTCTAATGCCTTTCTGGAATGTGGCAGGATTCGTGTTGGGTAAACATCCATATGTATTTAAAATCTCTATCCTCAATTAATTCTTAAAGGTAGCCAGCACAGCTGAGTGAAAGATGCACAGCATCCGCAATTCTTTTGGTTTTTTTATTCAGTAAAAGACAGATTATGCTCAACTAGTCTCGTTCAATTTCAAGGGGGTTGTAGTAACAGAGTAGGGAAGTGTTAATGCAACTTTATACGGTGTGGGGTGAGACCACATCTGGAGTGTTGTGAGCAGTTTTGGACCCCTTATGTAAGGAAGGATATTGTTTCATTGGAGGCAGTTCAGAGAAGGTTCAGTAGGATGATCCCTGGTATGGAGGGATTGTTTTATAAGCACAGGCTAAAAAGGTTAAGAGTCTACTGACTGGAGTTTAATGAATGAGAAGTAATCTCATCAGTATATATCGGATTCTTAAGAGGCTTGACAGGGCAAATGCTGAGAGGATGCTTTCCTTCACGGGAGAGTCTAGGACCACAGGGTATAGTCTCAGAATAAAGAGGCTCTAAATCAACACTCAGATGTCAAGGAATTTCATCTCTCAGGGAATTGAGAATCTTTGGAATTCCTTGCCACAGAGAACTGTGGGGGCAAAGTTCTTGTGTATTTTTAAGGCTGAAATGGATACTTGATCAGTCAGGAAATCAGGGTTAAGGAGAAAAGGCTGGAGGTATGTCTGATCAGCCATGATCCTATTGAATGCTAGAACAGACTTGAGGGTTTGAACGGCCTCCTCCTGTTCCTATTTCATATGGTGATGATGTAACAGAGAAGGTTATAGTATCGTTAGGTGTACCAAATAATCAGAGGTATAGATAGAGTGGACAGCCAGAGACTTTTTCCTAGGGTGGAGGTAACTATTACGAGGGGGCATAGTTTTAAAATGAGTGGAGGTAGATACAGGGGAGATGTCAGAGGTAGGTTCTTTACTCAGAGAGTGGTAGGGGCGTGGAGTGCATTGCCGGAGAGGGTAGTGGAGTCGGCCTCATTAGGGGCATTTAAACGGCTATTAGATAGGCATGTGGATGATAGTATAAGGTAGGGGTGGAGGTTAGGTAGACCTTAAGTTAGGGGTAAAAGTTCGGCACAACATCGTGGGCCGAAGGGCCTGTACTGTGCTGTACAGTTCTATGTTCTATCGTACAGCACGGAAACAGACCCTTTAGTCCAACATGTCCGTGTCGACCAAGTTTCTCAAACCAAAATAGTCCCATTTGCCTGCATTTGGTCCATATCCCTCTTAAACCTTCCCTAAACATGTACCTGTCCAAATGTCTTTTAAATGTTGTAACTGTACTTGCACCTACCACTGGCAGTTCATTCCACATACAAACCACCTTCTATGTGAAAAAGTTGCCCTTCGGGTCACTTTTAAATCTTTCTCCTCACTCTTTAAAACTATACTGTCTAGTTTTTAACTTACCTACCTTTTCTATTCACCTTATCTATGCCCCTCATGATTTTGTAACCCTCTTTAAGGTCACCCCTCAACCTACTATGCCCCAATGATAAAAACAGCCTAACCAGCCTATCCAGCCTATCCTTATAACTCAAACCCACCAATCCTGGCAACATCTTTGTAAATCTCTTCTGAACCTTCTCCAATTTAATAATATCTTTATTAGTATTTCTAGCACTGACTCTTACAGAACCTCAGAATCAACCAGCCTCCAGTCCAGAAAACAACCATTTCCACAACTCTTTATTTTCTGTCCTTAAGCAAACGTCTTACTCAATCTGACACTGACTGCCCTATTCCATGAGCTTCTGATTTGGTTGACTGACGAGTAGTTATTAGGAATGGCCTTGTATCTTTCCTGAACAAGGGATTTACATTTGCTAATTTCCAATCCTCTAGCCCATCCTCCTTATCTAGAGAAGGTTGGAACAAGATGGTAAGCATTTCTGTTACCTTCAAACCCATTCCTTTAGTCATCTGCAATATACACCATTTGGACCAGGCTTTTTACCTACACTAAGCATAGCCAGCCTTGCCAATATATGCTACTCATCACTTTTCACCACATTCATTGCCTCTAGCTCCTTCCTTGGCTCAATGCATTTTCCTCAAGCTCTGTGAAAATACCCTTGGATAATTTTTTTTACATTAAATGGTCTAAATAAATAGAATTATGGGTAGAAGTGTACATGTTTAAAATGACATAGAATGATATATTAATAATGTAATTGTTTAATATATAATTTCAAGTCACGACTATAACAGGGATGATCAGAACGTTACAGATGACATGAAAATAGTGGTAAGTAGTGAGAAAGGAAAGTTTTGGAGTACAGGACAATACCGGTGGGCTGGTCAGATGTGCTGAACAGTGACAAGTAAAAAGTGTGAGGTGATGCATTTGTGAGGCCTAACATGCCAAGGAAGTACATGTTGAATGGTGGGACCCTAAGCAGTACAAAGGTACAGAGGGACCTTGGTCTGCATTTCCATTGATTCTCGAAGGCAGCAGGACATTTGATGAAGGGATCATGGTGGATGTTGACTGAATAGATTTTATGAAAGTGTCCAACAAATTACTACATACAGGCTGGGTAACAAGATTCAGGTTATAGGAGGGACAGTGGCCAATTGGAGTTAAAAATTGGCTTAAGGACAGAAAACAAGAAGTTGCGGTAGACAGTTTCTTTTCAGATTGGAGGGTGGTAAACTAGGGTGTTCCTCAAGAGTTAGTGCTGGCTGCACTGCCTTTTGTTTTGTTTTATAAAAATGACTTGGATCTTGCACTACAGAGAGAAATTTCAAAATTTGCCAATGATATCAAACCTGGAGGCACAGCAAATGGTGAAAATGACCAGGTGAATGGGAAGTCATGTGGCAGATGGAACTTAATAGGCAATAGTAGGAGATGATGCATGTTAGAAGAAGGGACCAGGAGAATCAGTTTAGACATAATGCCTTAGTTCTAAAGAGTGGACAGGAGCAGAGGGACCTTGGCATACTTGTGCATCACATTTTGAGCAGATAGGACATATAAGATTAGAAAAGGCATACGTCACAGAAACATGCCATTTGGTTCAATTAATTGTATTTATGCTCCACTTGTGCCTCCTACAGAGTTTAATTACCCAAATGTCAGCCTAACCTGCTCCTCTTCTTTCTCACATACATATTGAGCTTTGGCAAATCCATGGGATAGTGGGCTTCACAAATAAAAGCATTGAATATAAATGCAGGGAACTTATGTCAAACCTTTGTAAGGTTCTGGTTAGGCCCCAACAGGGCCCTTTTGTAACCAGTTCTGGTCACCACACTTTAGGAAGGATGTTAGGGTCCCTGAGAGGGTGCAGAGAAAGATTTGAAAGAATTATTCCAGGGATGAGAGATTTTAGCTACGCGATTAGGTTGGAGAAGCTGTGGTTGTTCTCCTTGGAGCAACAGAAAATGGAGGCTTGACAGAGGTTATGGTAAAAGGTAAAGTCGCTATAGTCCCAAAGGAACGTAGGGCTGCTGAGACAACTGGTGATGTGTTTAACCTGAGGGTCACTGTGCCTCAAGAGAGAAGGAGGAACCTTCATGATGACCTCGGCCACACTGTTGGTGTCTCTCTGCCTCACAAGCCAGCTGAGCCAACTAGTCCCCCTGTCCAGATTACGACAGGCTTGGATAAAGTAGCCAAGGAAAAGTGTTCTCATTAGCTGAATGTGTAAGGACTAGGTAACCAGATTTAAGATTCTGATCCCAGCTGATGGTATGCTCGACAAGTCAGAATATCAGAATGAAATCTGTCTTGATAAGATCATATGTTTTAATTTTGAAGTTGGTTACTGTGGTTGCAATTACTGGACATATTAACAGGAGGCTACCAAGATTATTTTAAAAGAAGAACTCCCATTTATTAGAAAAAAGTGGACAAAAAAACAAACTAACCTACATATCCAGGTCGTCTCTGCAGGAGTCCCTCAGGGTAGCATCCTAGGGGCATTCATCTTCAGCTGCTTCATCAATGACCTTCCCTCCATCATAGGGTCAGAAGTGGGGATGTTCGCCAATGGCACGGTGGTTCAGTGGTGAACACTGCTGCCTCACAGCACCAGGGACCCGGGTTCGATTCCAGCCTCGGGTGACCGTCTATGTGTAGTTTGCACATTCTCCCCGTGTCTGTGTGGGTATCCTCCAGGTGCTCTAATTTCCCCCCACAGTCCAAATATGTGCAGATTAGGTGCATTGGCCATGCTAAATTACTCATAGTGTCTAAGGTGGGAAATGCTGGGATAGGGTAGGGGTTGGGTCTGGGTGGGATGCTGTTCAGAGTGTTGGTGTGGACTCGATGGGCCAAATGGCCTGCTTCCACACTGTAGGGATTCTATGATCTATGATTGCAAAATATTCAGCACCATTCACAACTCCTCCGATATCAAAGCAGTCCGTGTTCAAATGCAAAAAGATCTGGACGGTATCCAGGCTTGGGCTGAGAATGCCAGGCCATGACCATCTCCAATAACACACCATTAACTATAGCCCCTTGACATTCAATGGTATTACCATTACAAGAGCAGGTCAGAAGCTATGATTACTGCGGCAACTCACCTCCTGACTATCCACCATCTACAAGACACAAGTCAGGAGTGTGATGGAATACTTCTCACTTGCCTGGATGAGTGCAGCTCCAAAAGCAGATCAGAAGCTTGACACAATCCAGGACAAAACAGCCCACTTGATTGGCACTGCATTCACAAGCATCCACTCCCTCCACTATCAGTGGTCCATGGTAGATGTGCACACGATCTTCGAGATATACTGCAGAAATTTGCCAGTGATCCTTAGATAGTGCCTTCCAAACACACGACCACTACCATCTAGAAGGACAAATGCAATAGATACCATGGGAGTGCCACCATCAGCAAGTTGCCCTCCATTGTCATTCACCATCCTGACTTGGGAATATATTGCTGTTCCTTCACTAACATTAGGTCAAGATCCTGGAATTCCCTCCCGAAGGACATTGTGGGTCTAGCTACAATACTTAGACTATAGTGGTTCAAGAAGGCAGCTCACCACTACCTTCTCTAGAGCAACTAAGGATAGGCAATAAACACTGACCTAGCCACATCCCACAAAAGAATTTTTAAAAAAGTTAATTTGAAAGCAACTTAACATAAACTGCAATGATAAAGATGAAGCCTTTTCCTCAGCAATATCCTCTACGGATACTCAATCCCAGAAGTATTAATTCTTTTTAACACTTTAATTTCTGACATAACGGCAAGAAATGTTCATCCTTGGACTGCGGAAGATGTCACAGCTCGGCACTTCACAAACTACCCTGCCCTTTTACTAGGGTGATACGGTTCTCCCCAACTGAAAACTTGATTCCTGAAACCCGATTCTTCTGAATTGAACTCAAACTAAACCACCAGCGACCTCTGATCTTTTGTATTTCCGTATGTCATAAACTCAGCAGCATACACACTTCATCAATTATCGTCACGGGTTTCTGGCTGAACACTGACTAAGTCACGTGCTTTCTTGGAAATTATGTATTTAGGTCACTTTTCCAAATGATTTTTTGACCTCTAAAAGCAAATCTGTTACCATCGCAGATATGAAACCCATCTACGTTTATTTTAAAAGTCCAAATTCCAAAATGATAATATATATTGTAAGCCTTTATCACACTGAAAATTGGTAATCTTGATATTATGGCATAATTCCTATGACAGATCATTAAATCCTGAGGTGCTGTGCCTAGTGCCTTTATTTGTGGTTGCTGATCTTAAAATGACATATGGTAACTGTAATTATTACAAATAGCTGTTTTTTGCCTCCCTTTTTATAGGTGCTGGAACTGCTCTTTTCGGAAAAGAGGCTGCCATGGCTTGTACAGTTGCAGTAGAAGAGAGTATATCACAACATTACAACAATCAGATAAGGATGCTAATGGAAGAAGATCCAGAAAGGCACAAAGAATTACTTGAAGTAAGCATTAAATATGAAATAACATAGGTGTTTCTATATTAGAGTATTCAGTACTGCAAAACTAGCTGTTAGTCAAAAGATTGCAGCATATTTCAGAGCTCTTGAAATGGAATTGAATAGAAAAATAAGGATGTTTTACTTCAATTATTACAGGACATTGGTAAAAACCTGAACTGGACTTCTGTCTGCAGTATTGGTCACCTTATTTAAGGAAGGAATGTAAATGCACTGGAAGAGTTCAGAAATGTTTACCAAACCAATATCTGGAAAGCATGTGTTGTCTTCATGAGGAAGGTTTGGACAGTCTAGATTTGTCATCTGTTGGGGTTTCGTAGAGTAAGAGGCAAATAGATTGAAAGGTCTTGATGTGGTGGATGTTAAATTGATGCTACTTCTTGTGGGAGAACCAAGAATGAAGGATGTCTATTTAAAAATACAGCTCACCTATTTAAGACAGATAAGAAGAAATATCCGACAAGGTTATGAGTGTTTGGAACTCTTCTTCAGAAAGCGTTGGAAGCAGTTTTTAAGGCAGAGTGTTATGACTGCAGCTGATGGTAATATAAGTCAGATTCCAGATTGAAACCTGGCTAGACAGGCCATAAGTTTTAGTTTTCTTTTGTTTGCTGCAGACGTCAGTGACTCTGCATATTCACAAGAGGTTATTAATGTACTTTTAACAAAAGAATATGAAAGATAATGATACAAGAACAACACAGACCATATTACACTAGACAAGAGCTACTGGAATGATCTTGTTGCAAACATCAGGTTAAAAAGTCATTCTTTTCATCCCAGCAACACCTTGTAGATGACCAAACCTCAGTGAAGTCAATCCGTGCTAATGCTTTAGCTGACATCGCTTTAGTCGGATTCCTCTTGGAAAATTTCTTCACCTTCACTAGATATCATTTGCTTCAGTTAATGTCTGTCCCTGAAATACTTAAAACAAACTGCTAACTCAGCTCAAACACAGAAGTTGCTGGAAAAGCTCAGCAGGTTTGGCAGCATCTGTGAAAAATAACTCAGAGTTAATGTTTTGGGTCTGGTGACCTTTCCTCAGAATGGCTGCGCGAACTGGTTTCTTTCTCTCTCAGTCTCTGTCCGGTGGTTTTAAACATCTTAGAAATTACCTGTCCAGGTGGATTCCTGGCTGTTTAGCTTAAATCACATGACTCCTTGCAAATGTTCTTTTAAACTATTTTGGAAAAAGCAAATCAGATCTTCTAAAAACTGAAAAACAGAATCAATTTTTCTGCCACTTAGCTTCTAAAATTCCCAGATAATAATGATATATTGTAAACTTTTATAACAAGAGTAAGAAAGAATCTTGTTAATCAAAGGAGTGGCAGGTCATTGGGGATAGATGGGAATGAGGAGGAAGCAGATCAGCCATGATCTTAATGAATGGTGAAGCAGGTTCAGGGGGCTGAATGGCTACTCCAGCTTCTCATTCATATTATAGTACTGCAAAGGTTTCCAAAGAAAGATTGAGGTATAAATATACGCTGTAAGGGATGATTTGTAATTCCACAGCTTTTTGTTTATTAGAATAATTGCTGTATTAGAAAATAAATTTTATTTGTGAGGTAATTATTCTTTAGTAAATGTACTTGCCACAGAGCCGAGTAATAGCCTCCTCATTTGCTGAGCGTAAGGTGATTAATCTGCTACTTAGTCTCTCCACAAGTGCATGAGGACTTGTACTGAGACCCCCTCCAGTGGAGGTTGGCTGAGCAAGACCCTGGATTGTTCTGAACCTGTCAGGTCCCATCTTTTCGTTGTAGTTTAAAGCATGCCATTCCAACAGATGTGGTTTGTCACTTTTGATCAACCCCTTTTGTGGTTTGAATTCAACACAGACTAATAAATTGTGAAAATGCAAAGCTAGATGTTCTGTGAAGTGCAAAATTTATGTACAGTATGGACTGCTCTTAATGGGACTGCAAAGGGGCACATTTGTCAGGACATTTTATTCTTCATGTGGTGCTGTTTGATAGCTGACCTGAGAGCTATTTAAATTAAAATAAATAAATGAGAAAGCATGACCATTTTTTTAGCATCTGTATCCTTCAGTTTAGCCACATAAACCCACCTGTTCTGCCAATTAAAAAAAAAACCAATTAGTGCAGAGAATGATGTCACTCCTTTTAGGATCGGCTGCAATTTTATTATAGTGCATCAGAACTGTACAGCAAACTTTCATTGCTTAGGTTAAAAAATAAACTAGTTGAAAGTTATGAATTGTATCCCATGAACTTGAACACTAAAATTGCCCTCAGAATTATTTTCCCTGGGACAGTGTGAATAGAGAGGAATCAGTCAGCTTGTGTGTCACTTTATTTTAGTTATGTTTAACATTGATCAGCAGCAGGGTATGTGAGAGTGAGTGCAACTAGCTGTGTTATTGACAGTGCTCATTTTGAAAGTAATGAAAGAACTGGCGGTCAGTAACAAGATGCCATACTAAAGCGATCTGGTGAACTGCAATCATTTAACACCCAGTGGGAAGCCAAATAGTATTAGATAGGAACAGGGTCAGAAATCACGGGCCTTGGTGCTGCTCCCAGTTCTGACCCCCAGCCCCTAACCTGAGCACAGCAGGTCCCTGATAGCCCGAAGCACCTGTTATTGGTCACTGATATATGCTCCTGTCCTCAGCTGTCATATGAGAGATTTTCACATCAACCCATTTAGAGATGTTGTTATACTCTTCTGGAGCAGGTAAGACTTTAACCTGGGCCTTCTGGCCAGAGGCAGGGACATTACCACTATGCCATAAAAGCAGTCAGCATTTATCACTTTGTAGATTTACACCAGCTGGACCAATCAAAAACAAGATATTCTGAAGCTGATTTATAAAATTTCTAATACTATAAAATGTAGATAACTTAAATATAATTAAACATGACATTTTTAAGAAATGAGCTATTAATGACGTGTATGCGGTATTCTTCCTTGCACTTTCCGAAATCACACTACATTGCTGTTCAGAAAACCAGTTAGCTGTAAAATAGCTCAATGCCATAGCATATAAGGCTACAGGCCAAGTAATGGAAAATAGCACGAGAATAGATAGATGTTTGATGGCTGGCGTGGACCTGATGGGCTGAAGTATGTTCTTCGTGCTGTGAAAACTCTATGGCTGAATGACTTCTGGAGTATTAAGGTAAATAGGTCCCCGGGTCCTGATGGGATCTATCCCAGAATATTGAGGAAGGCAAGAGAACAAATTGCTCGAGCATTGACAGACATCTTTGTATCCTCTTTGGCCACAGATGAGGTCCCAGGCAAATGGAGAATAACCAATGTTGTCCCATTGTTTAAGAAGGGTAGCAGCGATAATCCTGGAAATTACAGGCCTGTGAGCCTCACATTGGTAGCAGGGAGATTATTGGAAAAGATTCTCAGGGACAAGACCTGTACGCATTTAGAAGCACATGGACTTATTGGTGATAGACAGCATGGTTTTGTGCTGGGAAGGTCGTGCCTCACTAACTTGATCGAGTTTTTTGAGGAAGTGATGAAGATAATTGATGAAGGAAAAGCAGTTGATGTTGTCTACATGGACTTCAGTAAAGCCTTTGACAAGGTCCCTCATGGCAGACTGGTACAAAAGGTGGTGTCACATGGTATTGGGGTGAGCTGGCAAGATGGATATAGAACTGGGTTAGTCATGAGAGACAGAGGGTAGTGATGGAAGGATGCTTTTTGGAATGAGGGTTGTGACTATTGATGTCCCACAGGGATCAGTGCTGGGACCTCTGCTGTTTATGGTCTACATAAATGATTTTGAAGAAAACGTGGCTGGTCTAATTAGTAAGTTTGCAGATGGTACAAAGATTGGACTTGTGGATAGTGAGAAGGATTGTCAGTAAGATACAGAACAGTTGGAGGCATGGTTAGAAAAATGGCAGATTGGGTTTAATCCGGACAAATGTGAGGTGATGCATTTTGGAAGGTCAAGTACAGGTGGGAATTATATAGTGAATGGCAGAACATTTAGAAGTATTGATATGCAGAGGGATCTGGGTGTGCAGGTCCACAGATCACTGAAGGTGGTAGCGCAGGTAGATAAGGCAGTAAAAAAGGCTTATGGCACGCTTGCCTTCATTGGAAGGGGCATTGAGTATAAGGATAGACCAGTTATGCTGCAGCTTTACAGAACTTTAGTGAGGCCACATTTGGAATATTGTGTACAGTTCTGGTCACCACACTACCAGAAGGATGTGGATGCTTTGGAGAGGGTACAGAAAAGGTTTACCAGGATGTTGCCTGGTATGAGGGATTTTAGCTATGAAGAAAGATTGGATAGTCTGGGTTTGTTTTCAGTGGAACACAGGAGATTGAAGGGACCTGAAAGAAGTTTATAAGGTTGTGAATGGCATGGATAGAGTGAAAAGTATGAGGCTTTTTTCCAGGGTGGAGGGGTCAATTACTAAGGGACACAGGTTCAAGGTGTGAGGGAGGAAGTTTAAAAGAGATGTGTGAGGCAGGTTTTCACACAGAGGGTGGAACGTGCTGCCAAAGGAGGTGGTGGAAGCAGACACAGTAGCAGCATTCAAGAAACACCTGGACAAATACATGAATAGGAAGGGAATAGAGGGATACAGATCCTGTAAGTGAAGACTGTTTTAGTAAGGAAAGGCAAAATGTGTCAGCACAGGAAGTACCTGTTCCTGAGCTGTATTGTTCTTTGTTCTTTGGAGATAAATACAAATACAAACTTTCCTGTTCAAGACTAAAGACTAAAGACCAAAGCTTTCTAATCCATTCTTAGAGCTGGAATGTAAATGTATTTAATGTATCAACATGTAAATTGTAATCTTTAGCATTGAGACTATATTACACATTGTATTTAATAAAGAGTGATTTTGTCTTCAGGGATACTACTTATATTGTATTGTGGATAAGAAGGATACTTTTTTTAACAGATTCTAAAGAAATTCAGAGATGATGAAATGGAACATCATGACACAGGATTAGCACATGACGCAGAAATGGTAGGCACTTGCTCAAACGTTTCCTGTTGATTATTCAAATACCTTAACAAATGTTGTGCTGTCTGACTAGCCCAATGGGTGCCAGTATTGGTGATGTGCAGTGGTATGTAGTTGTGTAGATGGGTTAACTTCCACGATTTCTGCATTTGGTTTGTGAGATTTCATGTTGTCTGTCTGAGGGGGAATGATGCTAGTAGACAGCCACAATGACAGGGGAATTAGGATAAATCAATATTAGTGTTAAACTCTCACTTTTGGTGACCAGCAGAAAACCCATTTCAATTTTATTTAATTCACTCATGGGACATGGCCAATGCTGACTGGTCCAGCATTTATTCGCCATCCCTAGTTGCCCCTTGAGAAGATGGTGATGAGCTGCCTTCTTGAACCGCTGCGGTTCATATGCTGTAGGTTGACCCATAATGCCCTGAGGGAGGGAATTCCAGGATTTTGACCCAGCAACAGTGAAGGAATGGCAATATATTTCCAAATCAGGATGGCGAGTGGCTTGGAGGGGATCTTGCAGGGGGTGTTGTTCCAATAAATGCTGTCCAGCCAGCAAAATCAACATCCCACAAATGAATTTTCTAAAAAAAAGCCAATGCATATACCACACAATTCCATTTGATCTCCAAGTTGTGAGGAAAAAATATACTGTCCTGGGGGTATTATGTTTAACCATAAAGTAGTGCCCAACTTTCATTTTCTAATTTGTAGCCCAAAAGTAAAAGCATGTATCTCTTTAAGGAATAAAAATTTATTTAACTTGGCTTCAACAAACTGGTGCAAGAATGCAAGTTGTGTGCTGTATACATATAGGCAATAGGTATATGTGACTATCAGCAGTGTCATGAAGGTATCTGTATGTGCATGCTTAAAGTGTGAGGGCTAAACTGTAGCACGGTATCTGAGTCATGCTTATCACTGAAGCAAGGAGACCTGCAAGTTTGATAATCTGACTCAAGTTAAAGCATGATTTCTGCAAATTTATTTTCTTGATAAGATGACTAATTCTTTAGAATTTTTGGAGGAAGTCTCAACCAGAGTGAATAGAGGGGAACCAGTAGATGTGTTGTGTTTGGACTTCCAGAAGGCATTTGCCCACAGTGTTGAAAGTAGTATAATGGCGTGTATAGAGAATTGGCTCGTGGGCAGGAAACAGCAAGTGGGAGGTTGGCGACCTGTGACCAGTGGGGTTCCATAGGATCAGTGCTACGACCATAACTGGTCACAATAAATATTAATGACTTGGAGAAAAGAAGTGAATGTATTGAAGCCACTTTTGAAGACGCTACAAAAATAGGGGGAAAGGTGGGTTGAGAGAGCGGTACAATTTATAGAGAGATAAGTAAGTGGGCAAAATGTTGGCAAATGGATATTAATGTGGGAAAACGCAAGGATGTTTTTTTTTTGGAATGGAGAACCACAAGAAATACTGTTTAGGTGGAGAAAAACTGCAGAAAGCTGCAACACAAAGGGACTTGGGTGAACTTGTGCACTGAACACAGAAAGCTAGCTCACAGGGGCAGCACTTAATCAGGAAGCTGACCCTCATTTCATGGGCGTTGGAGTATTAGAATAGGGAAGTCTTACTGCAACTGTACAAGGTGCTGGTGAGATCACATCTAGAGTACAGTGAGCAGTTTTGGTTTCCTTATTTATGGAAAGATATCATTTCATTGGAGGCGGTTCAGGTAAGTTTCAGTAGGATGACCCCTAGTATGAAAGTATTGTCTTATGAACAAAGGCTAAACAGGTTGGGACTGTACTCACTGGGGTTTAGAAGAAGGAGGTGATCTCATTGAAACATATTGGATTCTGAAGGGGCTTGACAGGGTAAATGCTGAGAGGATGTTTCCCCTCATGCGAGAGTCCAGGACAGTGTCAGAATAAAAGGGCACCAATTTAAGACAGAGGTGAGGAGGAATTTCTTCTCTCAGAGAGTTTTGAGCCTTTGGAACTCCTTGCCACAGAGAGCAGTGGGGGCAGAGTCCTTGTGTATATTTAAGGTTGAAATAGATTCTTGATCAGTCGGGGTATGAAAGGTTATGGAGAACAGGCAGAAAGCAGACAGAAGGAGTATTGGATACCATGATCCTGTTGAATGGTGGAGCAGGTTTGGGGGAATGAACAGCCTCCTCCTGTTTGTATTTCTTATGGTCTTGTGTGGAAAAGCTGTGCCACTGTTTTGATTTATTCTCAATTTTGTTTTTTAGGCACCTGCGTATGCATTATTGAAGAATGTTATACAAGCTGGATGCAAGGCTGCTATCTACGCATCTGAACGCATTTAAATATTTTCTTTGTAAAATCAATCTGTTTTTGCAATAGACTACTAATATACAGTAAAATAGATAATGTTATAACTTATTTGGTTTGTACCTATCCTATAATTTGTTTCAATTATGAAAATACATGTTTTTGTGTATATGGCTGAGAAACACGATGGCCTGGTGGTATTATCGCTGGACTGTTAATCCAGAGACCCAGAGAACATTCTGGGGACCCGGGTTCAAATCCCGCCATGGCAGATGGTGGAATTTGAATTCAATAGAATATCTGGAATTAAGAATCTAATGATGACCATGAATCCATTGGGGAAAAACCCATCTGGTTCACTAATGCCCTTTAGGGAAGGAAACTGCTATCCTTACCTGGTCTGGCCTACATGTAACTCCAGACCCACAGCAATGTGGTTGACTCTGAACTGCCCTCTGGGTAATTAGGGATGGACAATAAATGCTGCCTGGTCAGTGATGCCCACATCCTGTTAAGAAGAAAAAAACACTATTTTCCACTTTGTATTGAACCAGGAGTATATATGAAATGCACTGACTGTCTGACTGAATTTGAAGAATTATCCAGTTAGGACAATAGTTAATACATGTCTGCTTCATCAGCACTGCTCAAAGTTAGTGTGTGAACTGAAGTACTGTGGGGAAAAGATGCTTGATTAAGTGGTAACATTCTCCGTGCTCAGTCACAAAAGCACTGCCTCTTACCCATACGAGCCAGAGGATCCCATGTTTCTGCTGAATGAGTTGGTGAACGTTCTGCAGTGGCTTCAACACTGGCTGAATTCTGCCAATGTGAGGGAGCCTCAAGTTGGTGATGTTTCTGCTTGTTGCTTCTTCATCGGCCATCAGCGGGTGGGTCTGGGAGGTACCATGGTGCACGTGTCAGGGAAGCTGGCAGCCCTCCCTGTAACTAGGACAGTGGTGCTGAAACCCAAACAGCAGGGAGGGGCGGAAATCACGAGAGACAGTATCTCAGGGTAGCAGGGACCTCATTAGGCCTATGTTGATTGGAGTCTTCCTTCTCTGGGACATCCACAATCAGTGGCAAGGCTGTGATATGGAAAGACAACAACCTTACCATTTTCTGCCAGAAGCAGCTAGGGCCTCCTTTAGCTGGATTGCAGTTTGAGCTGTTACTTCCCCCTGTGTGGATACAGTGCAGTGGGTGGGGTCTGGCCCTGCAACGCTGGAAACATTACTGTGCTGCTGCAGTTTACCTCTTTGATTCGTTTGATGGTATTTCTGCTGCTCCTGAATAGGCTGCAGTGTGGCTACAGGAAAAGCATGAGGAGACATGGACACCTCAAGAAACCAGTTTGACAATTATATGTGCAATTTTCCTGGCACCCTCATTTTCAGAGCCATTTCCAAGGGGCTGGGAAGGTCCTTGGCTGTTATTTGCTGTCCTGTCAAATAGTCTTTCCAAGCTGACAGCCATGTCTTGTGTGAAGAACAGTCACTCAGGAGAAGTATTGAAGTACCCCACCACTTTGAAAGCGATGCTGAGTAAATAATTCAATATCTGCAAGAGGGAGGGAGAAAAGAAAACACATTCCCGATTATAGGGTTAAAACATTCAAGATCCTGCACAAATGGCAGACTGAAACAGCTAGCAACATGTTTTGTGCAAATGTGAATAAATCCTGATCCTTTTGTAAGCATTTAATATTTTACAGTAAATTAATAGGGAACATGTTAATTTGTGAAAAGTCATTAAAATATATGACCTGAAAACACACATTTTCTTTAAGCTAATGAATGATTTTATGTGCAGTTTTAAAACATGACTGCTGGGGTCAGGATGCTGCAGACAAAGCAACCTTTATTCAGAAAATATGCTTGATTTGCATGTTTGAATGACCTTTAATTTGGTTAAAGCGACATTTCCATGTGTTTTACTGATGGCTGCTCTCACAAGCCATTCCGTTTGGTTATTTTAAATTGTGACCAATGTGACAAATCTTTATATAATTGAAGTTCTTGTATGCCCTGGCATCTTTCTCCTCACCATTTTTGTGTAACTCCTTTTGCCTGATGGTGGTGCTGTTTCCTCGATTATTTTGAGACAGCCTTAAAACTGCAGTTTATTCTGTTACTTTTTGGGACGTCTTTTTAAAGGCTTTTTAAGCCACATTAAGGGGACTAACTAGTAGAATGCTTCCAGTGACCAGCTGGATCACTTGAGACTATCACAGCGTGGGGGCTCAGTGGCTAGCTCTGCTGCCTCACAGCGCCAGGGACCTGCGTTCGATTCCAACCCCGGGTGACTGTCTGTGTGGAGTTTGAACATTCTCCCTGTGTCTGCGTGGGTTTCCTCCAGGTGCTCCGGTTTCCTCCCACAGTCCATAGATGTGCAGGCTAAGTGGATTGGCATGGTTAATAGCCCATAGTGTTCAAGGATGGACAGGCTAGGTGGGTTAGCCATGGGATAATGCAAGGTTAGGTCTGGGTGGGATGCTGTTCAGAGGGTCAGTGTGGACCCATTGGGCCAAATGGCCTGCTTCCACACTGTAAGGATTCTATGATCGTGGCAGCCTGTTCTGGACTGCTGGTTGTTCTAGTCTGTTTCTTACTCAGTGAGTAGTTAGGGTATGGAATGTACTGCCTGGAATTGTGGTGGAAGCTAGTTCAACTGAGGCGCATTGAAGGATTATTTAGATAAAAATATGTACAGTGGTACGGAGGAAAGCAGAAGATTGGCGCAAGAAAATGATGTTCATTTAACAAGCCAGTGCTGGCCGCCTCTGAATGCTGTAACACTTATTTGATCTTGTGGCCCATATCTCAACTTTGCTTATTTTCAACAATTAGTTTTGCTCACCCACCATTGATGTTTAGGTAACCTTGAGCCACTAACTTCAGCAAAACTGATAGGATTTGAGGACCACATTGAAACATAGAAAATAGAAGCAGGCTTAGGCCATTCGGCCCTTCAAGCCTGCTCCATCATTCATTATGATCATGGCTGAGCATCCAACTCAATAGCCTGTTCCTACTTTTTCCCTAAATCCTTCAATCCCTCGACGTATCTGACCTGGCAAAAAATAACATTACTAAATGCTGTTGTGTCATTAGTTTACTATACAATAGGGTAATTTTGTTCCCCACAGTTCAGAGCAGTTACCTTCACTTTTTCATGCATGTGGATGATCTGATCAATGGAAAGTATATTGGGGTGAGCTGTTGGTAGAAATTTTTGCTTTATTTTATTCCAGATAACAGGTTAGTATTTGAGTACAATGATTTTCATTTGATTTTCAGCTGATTATTATTTGAGAAGAGTAATCTACCATATGTTTGCTGCATGGTGTTAAAATTAATCAGTTATTCAATTATAAGAGGCTGATCAATTTGAACCATGAGTCATCCTGAATCTTTGTGGCTGCCTGACATTTTTATAAATCAATTAATGGGATGTGGATGTCGCTGGCTGGTCCTGTATTTACTGTCCATCACTAATTGTCCTGCTGTACCTGGCAGCTAGCTGCCTTCTCAAACCTCAGCAGTTCTTGGTTGTAGGTAGACTCTCATTGCTGTTAGTGACGGAGTTCCAGGATTCTGACCCATTGACACTGGAGGAATGTCAATATGTTGAGAGGGTTGGACGAGAACTTGGAAGTGGTGATACTCCTGTGTATCTGCTGCCCTTGTTGTTCTAGATGGTAGAAGTTGAGAGTTTTGGTCATTCTGACAAAGCAGACTTGATGTGTTGTAGCAGTACATTTCATAGAGGTACACACTGCTGCTGCTGTGTATCATTGTTGAATGGGATACCAATCAAGCAGGCTGCTGTGTCCTGGATGGTGTCAAACTTGTTGAATGTTGTTGGAGCTGCACCTATCCTGAAAAGTGGGGAGTATTCCATTGCATTCTTGACTTGCGCCTTGTAGATGATGGACAGGCTTTGGTAAGTTAGGAGGTGAATGACTCACTTGTAGAATTCCTAGTCTTTGACGTGCTCTCACAGCTACAGTCATGGTTGGTCTAGTTCAGTTTCTGATCAATGGTAACTCCCACAATGTTATTAGTTCAGGATTCAGTGATGGCCGTGCTGTTGAATGTTAAGAAGGAATGGTTAGATTCTCTTTTGTTTAAGATGGTCATTCTCTGGCACTTGTTTGGCTTGAATGTTACTTGTTGCTTATCAAGTCAAGACTGGAAACTGTCCATGTCATGCCTTGTTCTGATATGAGCTGCTTTAGTAACTGAGGAGTGGCGAATGGTGTTGAACATAGTGCGATCATCGGCGAACATCCCCACTTCTGACGGTATGATGGAGGGAGCGTCAGTGATGAAGCAGCTGAAGATGGTTGGGCCTAGGACACTCCCCTGAGGAACTCCTGGGGAGTGATGTCCAATGCCTGACCACCAATCATCTCTCTGTATATTAGGTATGACTTCAGCCAGGGGAGCATTTTACCCTGATTCACATTGTTTCAAGTTTTTCTAGGTCTCCATGATTACTTTGACTGGATTAGGTTTGTCCTGGTTTTTGTGCATAGGACATAACTGGGGAATATTCCAGTTAGCCAGTGTGTAGTGTGGAGACAAATCGTAAGTACTTTTGTTGGAAAGTTGCCTTTGCAGTATCCATTGCCTCCAGCTGTTTCTTGATATCATGTGAAATGAATTGAAGTGAGTAATGTTTGTGATCTGTGATACTGGTGATATCAGGAGGTGGTTGAGATAAATCTTCAACTTTCACTCTGAGCTGAAGATGAATGCAAATATTGCAGCCTTGTCTATTGCACTGATGTGCTGGGCACCCCCCTTCATTGAGGATTAGGATATTTGTGGAGTTTTCATCCCCTCTTGGTTGCTTAATTGTCCACTACCATTCATAGCTGGATGTCACAGGACTGCAGATCTAAGATCTGATCTGGGGATGAGATTACATAGCCCCAACATTCCCTTGAAGCTATATGGATACTCTGAGGGTGTGTGCACATTGATCGATGCATTACCATCCGCTCTCTTGTAGCCACTGCTGCACATCGACTGCAGAGATTCGAGCAGTGGCTGGAGAAATTAAAGACAACGTAGCTCTATCTATGACATTACTGCTTACTCTGG